TGAGACGTGTGGAGTCACACTAGCAATACACACAAAACTGAGCATGTGCAGAGGTTTGTTTTTTCTTGGGAGTGCATATGTGATCAGCACAGGGCCAATTGGCACTGTCCAGAGGTCAGGAGTCCTGCATCCTCCAAGAGCAGAATGAAAACCCCTCCAAGTGTTATAAGTGCTCTGCTGGATGCTGATAGAAGTCACAAGACTGCATTTCCATGTACTGTGGGAGACCGCCTATAGCGAAGGCCCGGGGGGGCCCCCCCATGCCTATAGCGAAGGCCCGGGGGGGCCCCCCCATGCCTATAGCGAAGGCCCGGGGGGGGCCCCCCCATGCCTATAGCGAAGGCCCGGGGGGGGCCCCCCCATGCCTATAGCGGAGGCCCGGGGGGGCCCCCCCATGCCTATAGCGGAGGCCCGGGGGGGCCCCCCCATGCCTATAGCGGAGGCCCGGGGGGGCCCCCCATGCCTATAGCGGAGGCCCGGGGGGGCCCCCCCATGCCTATAGCGGAGGCCCCGGGGGGGCCCCCCCCATGCCTATAGCGGAGGCCCGGGGGGGCCCCCCCATGCCTATAGCGGAGGCCCGGGGGGCCCCCCCATGCCTATAGCGGAGGCCCGGGGGGGCCCCCCCCCCCATGCCTATAGCGGAGGCCCGGGGGGGCCCCCCCATGCCTATAGCGGGAGGCCCGGGGGGGCCCCCCCATGCCTATAGCGGAGGCCCGGGGGGGCCCCCCCATGCCTATAGCGGAGGCCCGGGGGGGCCCCCCCCATGCCTATAGCGGAGGCCCGGGGGGGCCCCCCCATGCCTATAGCGGAGGCCCGGGGGGGCCCCCCCATGCCTGTCTCCGGAGTGGTTGAAGGTTTACAACTTTAGTCTGCACATTGCAGGTTATAAAAATGCATTTATTCTACCGGGGCCTTCAGATGATTTATATACGCAGCGCTTTACAACATACATACGCACGTTGTACATTACATCGCGCTTTACAACATACATTGCACCCGGATCACGTGTACATGTACATTGCGCTTTACAACATACATTGCACCCGGATCACGTGTACATGTCTAACCGGCTTTTCTCAGGACATGCTGGAAAGCCAGTATCTGATCAGCGCTTGCAGCCAGTGGCAGTTGGCAGTGATCAGTGTGTCCTGGCGGGTCAGATACAAAGGCGCAGCACGGAGGGGAGGTTGTGGGGGTCGGTTTGGCCGTCTTCCAGTTGTCTCTACTTCCAGACTTCACTTGTGGTGTCACCATTCATCAGCCTTTTCCGGTTCTGCTGTTTCTGTGTTTTTGTTTGTTTTTTTTTTTGAGTGGTAGAGATCTCCATGTAATTATACACTTTCCCCAAGTATTGTCCCCCGCCCCCCCTTGTATATACACCATTATTGTCCCCGCCCCCCCTGTATATACACCATTTTGTCCCCGCCCCCCCCCTGTATATATATACCATATTGTCCCCGCCCCCCTCCCTGTATATACACCATATTGTCCCCGCCCCCTCCCTGTATATACACCATATTGTCCCCCCCCCCCCTATGTACACTATACACCATATTGTCCCCGCCCCCTCCCTGTATATACACCATATTGTCCCCGCCCCCTCCCTGTATATACACCATATTGTCCCCGCCCCCCCGCCCCCCTGTATATACACCATATTGCCCCCGCCCCCCTCCCTGTATATACACCATATTATTCCCCGCCCCCTCCCTGTATATAACCATATTGTCCCCGCCCCCCCCCTGTATATACACCATATTGCCCCCGTCCCCCTCCCTGTATATATACACTATATTGTCCCCGCCCCCTCCCTATATATACACCATATTGTCCCCGCCCCCTCCCTGTATATACACTATATTACCCCAAGTATTGTCCCCGCCCCCTCCCTGTATATACACTATATTGCCCCAAGTATTGTCCCCCCCCCCCGTATATACACTATATATTGAGTTTGCCCCGCCCTTTCCCACACACATGACCTTTAATGCCCCCCAGTCTTAGTCCGTAGGGTTCAATATTGAGTTGGCCCCGCCCTTTGCCTCTTCTGGGAAGGCCCCCACAAGGTTTAGGAGGGTGTCTATGGGAAGGTTGGACCATTCTTCCAGAAGAAGCACATTTGTCAGGTCAGGCACTGATGTCGGGGGAGGAGGCCTGGCTCGCAGTCTCCGCTCTAATTCATCCCAAAGGTGTTCTATGGGGTTGAGGTCAGGACTCTGTGCAGGACAGTCAAGTTCCTCCACCCCAAACTGGCTCCTCCATGTCTTTATGGACCTTGCTTTGTGCACTGGTGGGCAGTCATGTGGAACAGGAAGGGGCCATCCCCAAACTCCTCCCACAAAGTTGGGAGCAGGGAGGGGGTGGGGCGGCAGCGCCAGGTTCTGCCTGGAAGTGTTGGCGGTGGAACAAAACTGATCAATGTTGCTGACAAAAGGCAATGAATCTGAGGAAGGACAACACTAGAATGTGATCGTTATACCCATCCTGGTGGTCATGTTTACCCAGCCCTGCTATGAGGATTTGTAGCTTCTCCTGGCCGCTTCTTCGGCCCCATTGAATGTTGGGAAGACTCTCCAGCGTTTTTATCCACAAATGTAACAGACGACGTGCGCCAATCGCCTTCCGAATGTGTTGTAAACATTTTATGTACGCAGCCTGGAAGCTTCTTGATGGCAGGATCACCGAAAGCGTGCCGATCAGATGTACACTTCACATGGAACAGTAGGACCCGTCTCCACGCATTCATCAAGGGTCATGCGTCATGGCTGCCTAATGTTCACCAAACAGTTCTGGGGTGACCACAATGTAAATGGTGACAACGTGCTGACCCCTTGTATCTGGAAGTTTCATAAATGTCGCAGTGACCTCATGCCTGAACCCCTGTGAACACGGCTACCTGAACACTGGAGACATCTGGGTCCAATAAAACCCTTCATGCCTCGCCGGCGCCCTGCCTGCCCGCCCGCCTCGCCGGCGCCCTGCCTGCCCGCCCGCCTCGCCGGCGCCCTGCCTGCCCGCCCGCCTCGCCGGCGCCCTGCCTGCCCGCCCGCCTCGCCGGCGCCCTGCCTGCCCGCCCGCCTCGCCGGCGCCCTGCCTGCCCGCCCGCCCGGCGCCCTGCCTGCCCGCCCGGCGCCCTGCCTGCCCGCCCGGCGCCCTGCCCTGCCCGCCCGCCTCGCCGGCCGCTCCAGCGCCCTGCCCAAACTAAAAGCAAACCGATCTGCTCCTTGGCCAGAAACATGGGGGTTTGATGGCTCTGGAAGTGCTCAGAGTTCTCCCTGATGTATACGGAGGTGAGGAACGGTCAGCTTGGCATCCCAAGGTTCAGTCTCCATGCACGCGGGGCGTTCTAATAACGCTGGTAGCATTAGCTGTGTAAAGTTGCTTTTGAAACGCAGCGTTTAGTGTTTTTGCATTAGCGCTTAGTTCGTTTTTTTTTCTGCGTTTTTGAGGTTTTACACAAGTTTTGGTCAAAAATTCTGTTTTGCCGTGTGGGTGTAAAAAAAAAAAACAAAAAAAAAAAAACCCCCAAACATATCTTTATATTATAAATGTATTAATTATTAAATGAATATATTATAATAGCTATATATATATAATTTCTACGATAACTTCAAATATTACATTTTTATTTTAAGTGGGGTTTTTTGGTTTTTTTTTTTACTACCACCTCTGAGGGCGTGGCTCCAACTGCCACACTGACCTTTCCTCTGAAGACCGGCACCATCTTTGTTCAGGCATTATGCAGGGACAGTGTTGGCTTCAGAGGTGGTTTGCCAGCAGAATGTGTTGGTGAATGTTGATGCCTGCGGTGTATATTGCTGCTTGTATTGTCTGTTCCACGCAGCTCAGCCCCACATCTGCCACATCTTGCTATGACTTTCCAGAAGGTTACAGTGTACAGTCTGAGAGATCACTGGGGGAGGGGGAACAACTGCTTGCTCCCCACCTGCATCAGACGTGGATGACATTCCTAGCGTGATGTTAGGCCGGCAGGGACTGCAGCTCAGACTGCTTTTGATTAGAAGGTACATATGGTTTTCCAGAATGGTTCTGCTGTGCATTGTGACGGGTCAGGAATTCATGCGGACCTGTGAAGTCGCTGAGGGGTGTATGAGCTGAACTTTGCGCAGGTTACTAAATGCAATGTTTAAATGGTGTTTATGGTCCGGACCATAAACACCAGACTTGCAAACGTCTCATTTCCTTCTTCTGAACCATCCTAGTACCTTGTAAAAGTGGGTGATGTCATTTCTGTACATCTGAAATAGCAGCTATGCCGGGGGGGGGGGGGGGGCCCTGCAGGGGGGGGGGGGGGGGGGCCCCTGCAGGAGGAGGGGGGGGGGGCAGGAGGAGGGGGGGGGCCCCTGCAGGAGGAGGGGGCAGCTATGCCCCGGGGGGGGGGGGGGGCCCCCTCTGGGGCAGCATGCCCCGGGGGGGGGGCCCCTCTGGGGCAGCTGTGCCCCGGGGGGGGGGGGGCCCCCTCTGGGGCAGCTGTGCCCCCGGGGGGGGGGCCCCTCTGGGGCAGCTGTGCACCCCCGGGGGGGGGGCCCCCTCTGGGGCAGCTGTGTGCCCCGGGGGGGGGGGGGGCCCCCTCTGGGGCAGCTGTGTGCCCCGGGGGGGGGGGGCCCTCTGGGGCAGCTATGTGCCCCGGGGGGGGGGGGGGGGCCCCTCTGGGGCAGCTATGCCCGGGGGGGGGGGGGGGCCCCCTCTGGGGCAGCTACGCTGTGCCCTGGGGGGGGGGGGGGGGGGGGGGGGGGCCCTCTGGGGCAGCTATGCCCGGGGGGGGGGGGGGGGGGGCCCCTGCGGAGGAAGAGGGGGACCAAGAAGTAACTGAAGAAATGTAAAAAAGGGGAAAGACAAGTAAATATTTTCCCTATCTTTTTATTGTTGGCAGCATAAGGGAGTACACAGTCCATGTTGGTTGAGGGTGAAGTCCCACCCTAAGTGCCTTTCATAACAAACCTGGTACATGTTACACACAGAACAGCTCCCACCCCCCCAGGATATAGGGAATGGTGGGTCTGGGGGGAGGGTGACAGTGAATGCGGGGTCCCTATAGTGATCGAATTGGGGACATGCGGGGTCCGGGGGTACATAGTGAATGCGGGGTCCGGGGGGGGACGGATATAGTGAATGCGGGGTCGGGGGACGAGAGCGGATATAGTGAATGCGGGGTCGGGGGGGGACGGATATAGTGAATGCGGGGTCCGGGGGGGGACGGATATAGTGAATGCGGGGTCCGGGGAGAGCGGATACAGTGAATGCGGGGTCCGGGGAGAGCGGGGATATAGTGAATGCGGGGGTCCGGGGAGAGCGGATACAGTGAATGCGGGGTCCGGGGGGGACTGATACAGTGAATGCGGAGGTCCGGGGAGAGCGGATGTAGGGAATGCGGGGTCGGGGGGGAGAGCGGATGTAGGGAAATGCGGGGTCCGGGAGAGCGGATGTAGGGAATGCGGGGTCCGGGGACGAGAGGGGATGGGGAAACAGATATACAGCAAAGGATATAAGTATTTGCTCCCCTCTGATGCTGAATGTTCGCCCCCCTCACACAGAAATGATCGGTCTAACAATGGAATGTTCGCCCCTCACACAGAAATGATCGGTCTAACAATGGAATGTTCGCCCCTCACACAGAAATGATCGGTCTAACAATGGAATGTTCGCCCCTCACACAGAAATGATCTAACAATGGTCTAACAATGTCTAAAATGTTCGGTGTAACACAGAGACAGAATACAACAACAAATTCAGCAGCAAAATGCGTCTAACAAATGACGGATCTCCATGTTCATGAGGGAAAGAAGGATTGGATCCCCTTCACAAAACATGACTTAGACCTTGGTGGCCAATCCCTTGTTGGCAATCAGAGGTCAGACATTCCCTGGAGTTGGCCCCCAGGTTCGCACACATCTCAGGAGGGATTTTGGCCCACTCCTCTTGGCAGATCCTCTCCAAGTCATTAAGGTTTGGGCTGACGTTTGGCAACTTGAATTTTCAGCTCCCTCCACAGACTTCCAATCGGATGAAGGTCTGGAGACTGGCTAGGCCACTCCAGGACCTTAATGTGCTTCTTCTTGAGCCGCTCCTTTGTTGCCTTGGCCGTGTGTTTTTGGGTCATTGTCATGCTGGAACACCCATCCACCACCCATTTTCAATGCCCTGGCTGAGGGAAGAAGGTTCTCACCCAAGATTTGAGGGTACATTGCCCCGTCCATCGTCCCTCTGATGCGGTGCAGTTGTCCTGTCCCCCTTAGCAGAAAAACACCCCCAAAGCAGAATGTTTCCACCACCATGTTTCACAGTTGGGATGGTGTTCTTGGGGTCATAGGCAGCATTCCTCCTCCTCCAAACGGTGAGTGGAGTTGATACCAAAGAGCTGGATTTTGGTCTCCTCTGACCACAACACTTCCCACCAGTCCTCCTCTGCATCATTCAGATGTTCAGTGGCAGACTTCAGACAGGCTGGACATGTGCTTTCTTGAGCAGGGACCGTGCGGGCACTGCAGGATTTCAGTCCTTGTCGGCGTAGTGTGTTACCAATTGTTTTCTTGGTGACTGTGGTCCCAACTGCCTGGAGATCATTGACAAGATCCTCACGTGTAGTTCTGGGATGATTCCTCACTGTTCTCATGATCATTGACACTCCACGAGGGGAGATCTTGCATGGTGCACCAGACCTAGGGAGACTGACACTTGTTTTGTGTTTCTTCCATTTGTGAATGATTGCACCAACTGTTGTCACCTTCTCACCAAGCTGCTTGGCCATAGTTTGGTAGCCCAGTCCAGCCTTGTGTAGGTCTACCATCTTGTCCCTGACATCCTTGGACAGCTCTTTGGTCTTTGCCATGGTGGACAGTTTGGAATCTGATGGTTTGATGGCTCCTGTGGACAGGTGTCTTTTATACAGGTAACACAATGAGATTAGCAGCACTCCCTTTAAGAGACTGCTTCTAATCTCAGCTTGTTACCTGTATGAGAGACACCTGGGAGCCAGAAATCCTGCTGAATGATAAAGGATGAAATCCTTCTTTCCCTCATGAACATGCAGATCAGTCATCATTTGTTAGACGCATTTCTGCTGAATTTGTTGTTGTATTCTGTCTCAGTGTTACACCGAACATTCCATTGTTAGACCGATCAATCATTTCTGTGTGAGGGGCGAACATTCCATTGTTAGACCGATCGTTTCTGTGTGAGGGGCGAACATTCAGCATCAGCCGGGAGCAAATACACATTTCCTTCACTATAGTGTCAGGAGAACTTGTCATTAGTGGCTGATGCTGATGTCATAGGGAAGGAGGCAGCAGACAGAAATCACACTCAGTGCTCTGGACTGAGACAAGTACACACTATAGAGGGATGTGCTTTGTTCATATTTCATGTCTGAGATTTGCAACCACTTTAAATCTTTATAATGCCCCTCTATCCGTGGCCTGGAATGTCTTCTGTGCTCAGCGTTGGGCATTATAGTATTTACAAGGTAGGACATGAAGATCTTTCTAAGTGTGAGAAGTCGCTGAGCGGTAAAAGTAAACTTCCCGCCATCTGTGGTGTGCGACTTGCAGATCGTCTGCCCCGGGAACGCTGCGATGTGAAGGGCTCCCGACTATATTGTACGTTTCTGGAGGACTTCTTGCTCGGTTTATCTCCATGATGTCCTCTCATGATGTGCAAGAAAGGAGAATGAAATTAATTTGCAGATCGCGGTGCTGATAGCCGTCTAGTTGCCAGGAAACTGAGCCGGAAATACAGCGCGGCCTCTGTCCTCTTTGCTGCACATTGTATGCCGATTCCAACACTCGGCCTGCATGAGATCCAATGATTTACCAACACCGATCAGACTGGATGTCACACCGCAAACCAAAACTCCAAAACTGAGCTCGTAATATTACCTCCCCCATCTGCCTGTTCCCCTGATTTCTCAGTCAGGATCAATAGCACCATTATCCACCCCCCCCCCCCCCATGCCAGGGTGCGATGGTAACCCTAGATCCTGAACTGTCCGTCCAGGCCCACATCCAATCCCTGTCCAGATCATGGTGCCCCAACCTCTCTAGAATACGCCCCTTCCTGACCAATGACACCACAAAGCTCCTAATTCACTCCCTGGTCATCTCTCTCCTCGACTACAGCAACTCCCTCATTGGATGACCTTCACATAGGCCACACCCCCTCCAGTCCATGAATACTGCTGCCAGGCTCATCCACCTCTACCAACCATTCAGTGCCCTCTGCTCCTCTGCCAGTCCCTCCACTGGCCTCCATTCACTGTCCTCCACCCCTCTCTGCAATCCCTCCACTGGCCTCCATTCACTGTCCTCCACCCCTCTCTGCCAATCCCTCCATTGGCCCCCATTCAGTGTCCTCCACCCCTCTCTGCCAATCCCTCCACTGGCCTCCATTCACTGTCCTCCACCCCTCTCTGCCAATCCCTCCACTGGCCTCCATTCAGTGCCCTCCACCCTTCTCTGCCAATCCCTCCACTGGCCTCCATTCAGTGCCCTCCACTCTTCTCTGCCAATCCCTCCACTGGACTCCATTCAGTGCCCTCCGCCCCTCGCTGCCAATCCCTCCACTGGCCTCCATTCAATGCCCTCCGCTTCTCGCTGCCAATCCCTCCACTAGCCTCCATTCAATGTCCTCTACCCCTCTCTGCCAATCCCTCCACTGGCCTCCATTCAGTGCCCTCCACCTCTCTGCCAATCCCTCCACTGGCCTCCATTCACTGTCCTCCACCCCTCTCTGCCAATCCCTCCACTAGCCTCCATTCAGTGTCCTCCATCCCCCTCTGCCAATCCCTCCACTGGCCTCCATTCAGTGTCCTCCACCCCTCTCTGCCAATCCCTCCACTGGCCTCCATTCAGTGTCCTCCAATCCTCTCTGCCAATCCCTCCACTGGCCTCCATTCACTGTCCTCCACCCCTCTCTGCCAATCCCTCCACTAGCCTCCATTCAGTGTCCTCCATCCCCCTCTGCCAATCCCTCCACTGGCCTCCATTCAGTGTCCTCCACCCCTCTCTGCCAATCCCTCCACTGGCCTCCATTCAGTGTCCTCCAATCCTCTCTGCCAATCCCTCCACTGGCCTCCATTCAGTGTCCTCCAATCCTCTCTGCCAATCCCTCCACTGGCCTCCATTCAGTGTCCTCCACCCCTCTCTGCCAATCCCTCCACTGGCCTCCATTCAGTGTCCTCCACCCCCTCTCTGCCAATCCCTCCACTGGCCTCCATTCACTGTCCTCCACCCCCCTCTGCCAATCCCTCCACTGGCCTCCACTCAGTGTCCTCCACCCCTCTCTGCCAATCCCTCCACTGGCCTCCATTCAATGTCCTCCACCTCTCTCTGCCAATCCCTCCACTGGCCTCCATTCAATGTCCTCCACCCCTCTCTGCCAATCCCTCCACTGGCTTCCACTCAGCCAATGGATAAAATTCAAAACACTGACAACTTACAAAGTCATCCACAACTCTGCTCCCGGCTACATCTCCAACCTGGTCTCAAAATATCAACCAAACATCTCTTCGATCCTCTCAATACCTTCTGCTCTCTAGTTCCCGTGTCACCTCCTCCCATGCTCAACTCCAGGACTTCTCCCAAGCTTCCCCCATCCTATGGAACTTCCTACCCCAATCTGTCTGGCTGTCTCCTTATCCATCCACCTTTAGACGATCCCTGAAAACATTTCTCTTTAATGAAGCCTATCCTGCTTCTACCTAGTAAACTGCCATTTATTTCCTCCATCAGCCCATCCCCCCCACAGCTATTACAATCTAGGAGGAAGGGCTGAGGGATACAAAAGGTAAGCTCCCAGGATCAGGGCCCTCTGTTTCCTCTTGTACCAAATTCTATTGTAACGAACGTCTCCCTTATATTGTACAGCGCTGCGCACACTGTTGGCGCCATATAAATCCTGTATAATAATATAATGTATAAACCTGTAGAATTAAATTTTTTCCCTTTCATTTCACGGTCTCCTAATCCGGCATCTATTTGTGAATTCGAAGAACGATATATTTCACTCCTTTTGTCTTCCACGCTTTGTGCGTCTAGATCTCCACCTGCGCAGATTTTATGATTTAGCAGCATGGGGTGTGGAGGTTTCCAGAGGAAAGGAAAACACGAATCTGTCAGACGTAAAGATGAAATCGACTCATTGAAATTCCAAGGTCGCTGGAGGAGGTTCAACAGGAAATGTGAATCGTCTTATCTAATGAAAGTCATACGAGAGGCTTATGTATGTTGACTGTCAACTCTGTCTGTCCGCATCCCTCGCGTGGAGCGAGGCGCTCGACTCTGTCCGCATCCCTCGCGTGGAGCGAGGCGCTCGACTCTGTCCGCGTCCCTCGCGTGGAGCGAGGCGCTCGACTCTGTCCGCGTCCCTCGCGTGGAGCGAGGCGCTCGACTCTGTCCGCGTCCCTCGCGTGGAGCGAGGCGCTCGACTCTGTCCGCGTTCCTCGCGTGGAACGAGACGCTCGACTCTGTCCGCGTCCCTCGCGTGGAGCGAGGCGCTCGACTCTGTCCGCGTCCCTCGCGTGGAGCGAGACGGGATGAAGCGAGCGATTGTTGGTAGCAGGAGCTTCACGTGGAAGGCCACTGTTGGTCCGCTCTCGGCTCGCTCTTAACCACTTTACCCCGGAAGGTTTTGCTCCCTCTCTTGGTGATAATTGATTACCGCGGAGGGGTTTGGTTTTTTTTTTTTGTTACTATATAAATGAAAAAAGACCCAAAATATTGGATTTCTTTCTTACTTTAAAAAAATGTAAATACATTTTTTCATGTCAATGTTTTTTCTTTTGTAAGAAAAAAAAAAAATCCCCCACACAGGCAGGGCTCTCCCCCAGGCCCCCCACCCCCACACAGGCAGGGCTCTCCCCCAGGCCCGACTCTCCCCCAGGCCCCCCACCCCCACACAGGCAGGGCTCTCCCCCAGGCCCCCCACCCCCACACAGGCAGGGCTCTCCCCCAGGCCCCCCACCCCCACACAGGCAGGGCTCTCCCCCAGGCCCCCCCCACCCCCACACAGGCAGGGCTCTCCCCCAGGCCCCCCACCCCCACACAGGCAGGGCTCTCCCCCAGGCCCCCCACCCCCACACAGGCAGGGCTCTCCCCCAGGCCCCCCACCCCCACACAGGCAGGGCTCTCCCCCAGGCCCCCCACCCCCACACAGGCAGGGCTCTCCCCCCCCCCACAGGCAGGGCTCTCCCCCAGGCCCCCCCCCCCCCCACAGGCAGGGCTCTCCCCCCCCCCCCACAGGCAGGGCTCTCCCCCAGGCCCCCCCCCCCCACAGGCAGGGCTCTCCCCCAGGCCCCCCCCCCCCCCCCCACAGGCAGGGCTCTCCCCCAGGCCCCCCCCCCCCCCACAGGCAGGGCTCTCCCCCAGGCCCCCCCCCCCCCACAGGCAGGGCTCTCCCCCAGGCCCCCCCCCCCCACAGGCAGGGCTCACCCCCCCCCTATGCACACACACTGGCAGGGCTCCCCAGATTTGACGATTTCGGGATGTTGGCATTCACAATGGAGCTGTGGCCACTTGGTGGTTTCCGGTCTTTCAGCGAGACATCAGCAGGGTGACTACATACCTGTTTGTGCCGATCACCTGGCTGAGGTTTGATGAAAAGGAAGCAGAATTCCCATCTCTGACTTCACAGGGAGAATGCTGACTGATGAACTGTTTTCAAATGCATTAAAACGATGAATATTGCAGCATTGTGATACAACTTCCTGTAAGTGGTACAAGCCACGCTTCATGTGACCACAGAGGGAGAATCAAAGGGTTGTATCCGCAATATGCATGACGTGGCTTTCCTTCCTCACAGCTGTGTAACACTTATTATACTGGGGGGGGGGTGTTACCCGGCGATTCTGCTCCCGTGGTGTCATTGCTGGGGGGGGGGGGGGGATGTTACCCGGTGGTTCTGCTCCCGTGGTGTCATTGCTGGGGGGGGGGGGGATGTTACCCGGTGGTTCTGCTCCCGTGGTGTCATTGCTGGGAGTCGCTGACCCAGAGCGAGTGATCAAACCACAACTTTCATCTGAGTCTCCTGATCTGCCGGCGTGTTCCAGGCTTGTCTGAAAGTATTTGTGAACATGCTATGATATGGGGGGTGGGGGGCGGTGGGGGGTCCCTGGCCTTTTCCTATAGACCTGGGGGGGGTGGTCCTTTCCTGGCCTTTTCCTATAGACCTGGGGGGGGGGTGCCTGGGGTAGGCTGTGATTTGAGGGGGCGGTGCCTGGGGTAGGCTGTGATTGGGGGGGCGGTGCCTGGGGCAGGCTCTGATTGGGGGGGGTGGTGCCTGGGGCAGGCTGTGATTGGGGGGCGGTGCCTGGGGCAGGCGGTGATTGGGGGGGCGGTGCCTGGGGCAGGCGGTGATTGGGGGGGCGGTGCCTGGGGCTGGCGGTGATTGGGGGGGGCGGTGCCTGGGGCTGGCGGTGATTGGGGAGGGGCGGTGCCTGGGGCAGGCTGTGATTGGGGGGGTGGTGCCTGGGGCTGGCGGTGATTGGGGAGGGGCGGTGCCTGGGGCAGGCTGTGATTGGGGAGGGGCGGTGCCTGGGGCAGGCTGTGATTGGGGAGGGGCGGTGCCTGGGGCTGGCGGTGATTGGGGAGGGGCGGTGCCTGGGGCAGGCTGTGATTGGGGAGGGGCGGTGCCTGGGGCAGGCTGTGATTGGGGAGGGGCGGTGCCTGGGGCAGGCTGTGATTGGGGAGGGGCGGTGCCTGGGGCAGGCTGTGATTGGGGAGGGGCGGTGCCTGGGGCAGGCTGTGATTGGGAGGGGCGGTGCCTGGGGCAGGCTGTGATTGGGGAGGGGGGCGGTGCCTGGGGCAGGCTGTGATTGGGGGGGGGGGGGGGGCGGTGCCTGGGGCAGGCTGTGATTGGGGGGGGGGGGGCGGTGCCAGGGGCAGGCTGTGATTGGGGGGGGGGGGGGGCGGTGCCAGGGGCAGGCTGTTATTGGGGGGGGTGCATAAGAATTTTATTTTTAGTTATACTTTAAAGCAACATGCTCTCGCCCTGGGTGCCGCGCTCTCTCTCTCGCCCTGGGTGCCGCGCTCTCTCTCTCTCGCCCTGGGTGCCGCGCTCTCTCTCTCGCCCTGGGTGCCGCGCTCTCTCTCTCGCCCTGGGTGCCGCGCTCTCTCTCTCGCCCTGGGTGCCGCGCTCTCTCTCTCGCCCTGGGTGCCGCGCTCTCTCTCTCGCCCTGGGTGCCGCGCTCTCTCTCTCGCCCTGGGTGCCGCGCTCTCTCTCTCGCCCTGGGTGCCGCGCTCTCTCCTCGCCCTGGGTGCCGCGCTCTCTCTCCGCCCTGGGTGCCGCGCTCTCTCTCTCGCCCTGGGTGCCGCGCTCTCTCTCGCCCTCTGCCGCGCTCTCTCTCTCGCCCTGGGTGCCGCGCTCTCTCTCTCGCCCTGGGTGCCGCGCTCTCTCTCTCGCCCTGGGTGCCGCGCTCTCTCTCTCGCCCTGGGTGCCGCGCTCTCTCTCTCGCCCTGGGTGCCGCGCTCTCTCTCTCGCCCTGGGTGCCGCGCTCTCTCTCTCGCCCTGGGTCCCGCGCTCTCTCTCTCTCGCCCTGGGTGCCGCGCTCTCTCTCTCTCGCCCTGGGTGCCGCGCTCTCTCTCTCTCGCCCTGGGTGCCGCGCTCTCTCTCTCTCGCCCTGGGTGCCGCGCTCTCTCTCTCTCGCCCTGGGTGCCGCGCTCTCTCTCTCTCGCCCTGGGTGCCGCGCTCTCTCTCTCTCGCCCTGGGTGCCGCGCTCTCTCTCTCTCGCCCTGGGTGCCGCGCTCTCTCTCTCTCTCGCCCTGGGTGCCGCGCTCTCTCTCTCTCGCCCTGGGTGCCGCTCTCTCTCTCTCTCTCGCCCTGGGTGCCGCGCTCTCTCTCTCTCTCGCCCTGGGTGCCGCGCTCTCTCTCTCTCTCGCCCTGGGTGCCGCGCGCTCTCTCTCTCTCGCCCTGGGTGCCGCGCTCTCTCTCTCTCTCGCCCTGGGTGCCGCGCTCTCTCTCTCTCTCGCCCTGGGTGCCGCGCTCTCTCTCTCGCCCTGGGTGCCGCGCTCTCTCTCTCTCTCGCCCTGGGTGCCGCGCTCTCTCTCTCTCTCTCGCCCTGGGTGCCGCGCTCTCTCTCTCTCTCGCCCTGGGTGCCGCGCGCTCTCTCTCTCTCTCGCCCTGGGTGCCGCGCTCTCTCTCTCTCTCGCCCTGGGTGCCGCGCTCTCTCTCTCTCTCGCCCTGGGTGCCGCGCTCTCTCTCTCTCTCGCCCTGGGTGCCGCGCTCTCTCTCTCTCTCGCCCTGGGTGCCGCGCTCTCTCTCTCTCTCGCCCTGGGTGCCGCGCTCTCTCTCTCTCTCTCGCCCTGGGTGCCGCGCTCTCTCTCTCTCTCGCCCTGGGTGCCGCGCTCTCTCTCTCTCTCG